ACCAGCTACCCAGGAGGCTGAGGCAGGAGAATCACTTGAACCTGGGAGGAGGAGGTTGCAGTGAGCCAAGATCATGCCATTGCACTCCAGCCTGAGCAACTGGAGCGAAACTCTATCTCAAAAAAAAAAAAAATTTAGACCAGGTGCAATGGCTCATGTCTGTAATCCCAGCACTTTGGGAGGCCAAGGTGGGCAGATCACGAGGTCAGGTGTTCAAGACCAGCCTGGCCAACATGGTGAAACCCAGTCTTTACTAAAAATACAAAAATTAGCTGGGCGTGGTTGCAGTGAGCTGAGATCCAGCTATTGCACTCCAGCCTGGGCAACAAGGCGACACTCCATCCCAAAAAAAAACCAAAAAATTAAAATTAGTCAGGTAGGCACAGTGGCACACACCTGTAGTCCCAGCTACTTGAAAGGCTGAGGTAGGAGGATTCCTTGAGCCTGGGGGATCAACGCTACAGTGGGCTGAGATTGGGCCACTGCATTCCAGCATGGGTGATACAGTGAGAATCTGTCTCAAAAATAAAATAAAACAAAATAATTCTTTTTAGAAATTAAAGAATAAGGAAAATGAAGGGTAGAAAACTGTCAAAGAACTAATACCAAAAAAAAAACACATAACCTAATTTACATAACCTAAACCAGATTAGGAAAATTTACCAGGTGCCCAGCACAATGAATGAAGAAAAACACCACCAAGGTCACATCATGCATTCTAAAACTAAAGAGATTTAAATACTGAAATGATTGTACACAGTTAAAATCAAAACAATCTTTAAAAAAAAAAAAACACTAGAACTAATAAATGAATTTATTTAGGTCCCAAATTACAAGGTCAATATATATTCTGTAACTACATTTCTATATAATATAGAAACAAAAAAAAAAAAAAACTGGAAAATGGAAACTTTTTTTTCTTTTTTTTTTTTAAGATGGGGTTTCACCATGTTGGTCAGGCTGGTCATGAGCTCCCGACTTCAGGTGATCCACCTGCCTTGGCCTCCAAAGTGCTTGGATTACAGGCATGAGCCACCACGCCCAGCCCTGAAAACTTTTTAAGATGTCATTTGTAATAGCATCCAAAAAACCTGTAAAATACTTAGACACAAACTTAGCAAAATATGTACAAGATTTATGTACCAAAAACTTTGCAAAAAAATTAAAGAAGACTTAAAGAGAGAAAGATATCTTGCCCATGGACTGGAAGACTCAATACTAAGATGTCAATTTTCTCTAAATTGATCTATGGATTCTACATAATCCAAATCAAAATTCTAGCTGGAACAGGCCTCTTTCCTAAGAAGACAATGAAGGACTCCGGGAGAGAGATCTTTGAGAATGAAAAATTAATAGATTATCCAATGAACGTGAATGTATTGAGGGAGATATTGGCACTGATATTATGATAAGTACATGGAACAGCCTCTCATCAATTCCAGGGAAAACAAAACTTGTACAAAGAAAGGAAGTGTAAACATTGGACCCAACTGTGAATAATTGTTTACATCGACATTATAACAAAGAAACTGAATGTTGACTTAACCAGAAAGTATGGTATCTGTTTCTGGAGAATGGAGAAGGCAGTATTTGTGTTTGCTTGGACCAGGGTGAAAGCAGGAGAGAGACTGGGAGAATATTACATTCTCATAAGCCAAAAGAGACAGCCAATGACGATACTTAAACCTGGAGGGGGAAAAAAACAAGAACTAGCAGAGGGTTGGGCACAATGGCTCTCGTCTGTAATCCCAGCACTTTGGGAGGCCGAGGTAGGTGGTTCACTTGAGGTCAGGAGTTCAAGACCAGCCTGGCCAACACTGTGAAACCCTGTCTCTACCAAAAAAAAAAAAAAAGCAATAATTAGCCAGGCGTAGTGGCGGGCGCCTGTAGTCCCAGCTACCTGGGCAGCTGGCACATGAAAATCACTTGAACTCAGGAAGCAGAGGTTGCAGTGAGCTGAGATCGTGCCACTGCACTCCAGCCCGGGAGACAGGGTGAGATCCTGTCTCAAAAAAAAAAAAAAATACTGGCAGAATAAGTATGATATTTAGAAATATGTAGATCACTATCAGATGAAACAGCTATGAGAGCTGACGGTTGCTGCCCTTGTCTGCAGGGATTGGAGCTGGAAGGCTGCTAGTTTTTGTTATAAGCTTCATAAAGCCGTTTCATTTTTTCAACAATGTGTATAGAATACTTAGACAATAAAAAGAAATTTTCATCTTTAAAAGTCGAGTTGCCAGGTGTGGTGGCTCACGCCTGTAATCCCAACACTTTGGGAGTCCGAGGCAGGTGGATCACAAGGTCAGGAGTTCGAGACCAGCCTGGCCCATACGGTGAAACCCTGTCTCTACTGAAAGTACAAAAATTAGCCAGACGTGGTGGCGATGCCTGTAGTCCCAGCTACTCGAGAGGCTGAAGCAGTAGAATCACTCGAACCTGGGAGGTGGAGGTTGCAGTGCCAAGATGGTGCCACTGTACTCCAGCCTGGGCCACAGAGTGAGACTCCTTCTCAAAAAAAAAAAAAAAAAAAAAAAAGTCGAGTTAGCATATTTCAATTATTTTTTATTTTATTATGTCTTCGATTCATTTCTACCCTGAAGGTTGGAAAGAAGACTTTGGATTTAAAAACTGAATACCAGGCTGGAAGAACACATCGGTGCTGAGAGCTTCGCTGTTGGCTCCTTGTGGCTTTCTGGGTGGAGCCTAGAGTGGCCTCTCCGGCCTCTGCATGGAAACAGCGAAAGACTGGACTCCACCACTGTCTCTTGGTGAGTGGTCTTCTCTAGGAAAACACATCTTTGGGATGATCTTTAGACCAAAAAGGAGACTGTCATTTTACTTCATTTGCATCTATGAGATTTTTCAGTCTCTGAAAGACTCTTATGGAAATACTACTTTGCTGAGAAAGGGGCAAATTTTAGCTCCGTGGCATAAAATGTGGATTATCAGTTAGGATTTTTGCTGGAACTAACAAGAATGGTCCACAGGATGGAGGGCAAGGGGTGGTGAGAGGCAGTGGTTGGTCAGAAGAACCAACTGCTGTTAGTAGATTGGTAAGAAGAACCAATCTACTGTTTAAGGGAAAACAGTAGATTCTGACAGTTTGACTTAGAGTCTCAAACATTGTCACCAAGGCTACAAAACAAATTTTTGAGTGTTAACATCAGGAAACATTGTGCAGAACATGCAGTACATCCTAATCCCATCTCTCGACTTACCCTAATGTGCAACTCCAATCTCATCCCTGACCCCTCCCATTACTGACCCCCACTCCCGTCCTAAGATTCACCCCATCCCTGGTCCCAGCCCCATACTGGACAAGTGGGTCCCTCCTTAGGGCAAACACTCTCCCTGGCTCTGACCAGACATCTAATCCTCACCCTATCTAGTCATTGAAACATCAGTTTTTGACACTTCAATATACCGTTAACTAAGTACCAAGATCCTGGCATTTTTTAAAAAATCTGAAATCCAAATCATTTGTGTCTTGAGCTATACCCAGAAAACTACAGGCTGCATTAAAATTTCCAATCAGCCTGGGTGCAGTGGCTCACGCCTATAATCCCAGCACTTTAAGAAGCCGAAGCAGTGAGATCACCTGGGCTCAGAGGTCCAAGACCAGCCTGGACAACGTGGCAAGACCCCATCTCTACAAAACAATTTAAAAATTAGCTGGCATGGTGACACACAGCTCTGATCCCAGCTACTCTGGAAGCTGAGGTGGGAGCCTCACCTGAACTCAGAAGGTTGAGGCTACAGTGAGCTGTGTTTGCACCACTGCACTCCAGCCTGGGTGACAGAGCAAGACCCTGTCTCACTTAAAAATAAAAATAAAAAAATATAATCAAAAAATGTTGCACTTGTTTGAAGAGTCCACTATATCCCTCCCCTGTATAAAACAGCTCTGAGTTATTTTGTTGCTGTCTGAGCTTCATTTCCCAAGTTCCTAGGGAGGCTGAGCATCTTTCACATGGTTATGAGTCATTTACATTCCCCTGGACCCCATGTGGATCCGAACTTACTTACTGAAGCCCCTGATGGTGTCATCTTTGCGTACCGGGCATATGGTGAAGAAGGAGGAAGTTGGACTTTGAGGACACAGTAGGAGAGAGGGAAGGGGGATTAGCAGAGGGAGGAGGGGGAAAAGGAGGCCCCAGTTGTCAGCCCTCTGCCCTGGATTCCCTCTGCATCTTCGCATTCTTCTTGTCCTCTCTGCTGAATCAGGTCTATCTCTTAGGGCTCGAGTGCCTAACTCCCTCCTCACTCACCTGCTTGGACAGGCTCAAGCAGGAAAGACTGAGGAGCCTCCATCCTGGCCCCTGGAAGAGCATCTTAGACAATGCTCTGGAGAGGGTAGTGACCCTACCAGGGACGTCTGCTCCAGCCCTGTAGCTCCTAACCCTTCCCCGACATTCTTTCCAGGTATGACACCCCGTCCCTGAGCCTCACCTCTCCCAAACACTTATCCCATTCCAAAGCCTCACTCCATATCTGGTCCCAGCTCCATGCTGAATCTCCCTGTTCCCGACTCCTCACTGCGGCCCTGACTCTCACTCTCCCTCCTTGTGGATCTCTCCCGATCCTTGGCATTCATCCTCCTCTAATCTCATCCCAAGCTACCACCCCATCCCTGCCCCCTCCCCATCTCTGATTTCAACATCAATCGCTGATCCCCATCTCAACCTTGATCTAGGTCCTGCCTCTGAGCCTCACCCCATTCCCAACCCCAAGCTATCCCTGATTCTTCCCCGCACATCCTAAACCCACACATCCTGTTTTGCTTAAGCTAGTTTGACTTTCATTTCTATCATTTGCCATCAGAAGAGCACTGACGTCATCAGTCCTTACTTGGGACATTTTTACATGGATAAAAGTCGAAGGAAGCTAAACCACAAAGGCAAACTTGAGAAGTGGACAGCAGGAAGCTGAAAGGGGAGAGGAAAGACAAGAGAAGTTTTGAGCAGATGGTGTGCAAATGAGCTCTGGTCTTTTCAGCATCCGTTCATTCCTGTGATCATTATTTATTGCGCTTTTAACAGGCTCCAGGCACCAACGACATAGAGTGAACAAACAGACAAGGTCCTGTCTCCAAGGAGCGAAAACAGCCCAGGAAAACACCGCAACTCAGGGAAAGCATTTGAGGAGGGAGAGGCGAGCTCATATAATTGAGGAATCCAGACAAGGTCTAACCCAGAAGATGACATTCACCTCAGGGTGAAGCTGAGATCCCTGGAGGAGCATTTCCTTTTGCTTGTGGACAAAGGTATCCTCCATGGCCTGGGTATGGGCACCAACAGGAGTTTCTGTGCCTCAGGAGACTGTTCTAGCAGGAGTTCAAGCCCCAGGGAACACCTCCCTTCAGCCCAGAGAGGCGCCCTTTTGGGAGGTGCTGCCCCCATTCTTCTGCAGTAGCAGCCAGCAACGCTGCACACACTAGACCTGTCACACCCAGGAGACTTCCACGGGGACAAGCATGGAACAGAAATTTTATTAGGAATGTCTGCCTGCCCAGTGGACTGGTGACTGTGCATGGCTTTCTGGGGCTGCTGATGCTCCATGCCAGCCTGGAAGCTGCAGGAGGGTGGGGCTAAGGGCAGCTTGTCTTGTTCCACCTGGGGCTCAGCAGGTAGCCGGCACATGTGTCTGCAATGTTGGTCACGGGCGTAAAGGGGATTCTTGTGGCATAAGTCTGGCTTCCACACCCTCCTCCCCTTTGTTCACCCACCACCCCCAAGGGAAACATGTGTTTCCAGCTCCTCACAGGGCTGTTTTGGGAGTGGCTGGCTCAACGTCTCCAGCAGACACTGCAGCACACCCAAGATGGGAAAACCATTCCCTGAGCTCAGATCAGAGCACACAGAGCCACCAGCCTGGCGGGTCAACACTTAACACTCAGAGTTGAGGAGATGCTCCTGAGAGGGTCAATGAAAGCGTCCAGCCCTGATGAGGACGTAGCCTCCGCCCTGTTCTCTCATCTGATGTCAGATTCGGGGCTCGGATGTGACCATGCTAATTAGCCAGTTAGTGGGTTAAAGATGCGGCATTCAGCAGGAATGACGGTGCTTCCTTTCCACGGAGGTGCGAAGGCCGGTCCTTGGAGGTACCTCAGCAGCTCCTCAGAAGGTTGGCATGGCCCTTGAAGACACCAGTTCCTAACTTCCCCACATCCCATAGCATCCCCTCAAAACCCAGCGATGTGTCTGTCCAGAGCCAGACCACCTTCCGCACACAGCCTCAGGGTACTGGTTATTGTTTCCTTATGAGGAGAGACATTCCTTCACTGATGGTTTTTAGAGGTTGGAAGAGGCATTGACAGAGGAAGAAGTGTAGGAGGTAACATGATGACGTGCCAAGAACTCCTTGCTGACCAGGCCATGCATGGCCAGGATCTTGAGGAATCCATGACGAAAATTTTGGCCGATGAAGGCGTAGATGATGGGGTTGAGGCAGCTGTGGAAGAATCCCAGAATCTCGGTGGCATCCAGGGCCCGGTCAATGTCACTGCGGCGCTGACAGGTCTCCTTGATCATCTGGGTCCTCATGAGGGTGTCTGTGAGCAGGACCAGGTGGTAGGGCAGCCAGCAGAGCAGGAAGATGAGGACCACAGCAAAGATGACCCGCATGGCCCGGTGCTTCTGCCCCATGTGGGCCTTAAACAGCGTGCACACGGTGAATCCGTAGCAGAACAGCATGACCAGCAGAGGCACAACGAAGCCAAAAGTGTGGGGCAAGAGCCGCAACACCATCCGCCATTTTGTTGTGTCATTTCCCAGGACCTCATAGCAAACTGGACTGGAATTTTTTGGACGATAGGCCTCGCGGAAAAGGAAGTAGGGAAGGGACAGAATCAGAGACAGTCCCCAGCAGCCCAGACAAATAAACTTGACCAAGTAGCGCTTCTGGGTCAGTGTGCGTGTGGCATGGACAATGGCCAGGTAGCGGTCCACGCTGATGCAGGCCAGTAGCAGGATGCCACTGTAGAAGTTGACTTCCTTCAAGAGTGAGACCACCTTGCACAGGGGTGTGCCAAAAATCCAGCCATTCACCTTGGAGGCAGCCCAGATGGGCAAGGTCAGGGCAAAGAGCAGGTCAGCCAAGGCCAGGTTCAGCAGGTAAACATCTGTGACAGAGCGGCTGACCCTGCTGTGTAAGATGACCAGCATCACCAAGGAATTTCCCAGCAGGCTCAGCACGAACACTAGGGCATAGGTGACGACCACAACATACTTGTTGAGTGTCTCAGTCTCTATGTCACAGGGGCTGTAATCTTCTTCTACAGGTGGCATGGCAGTGAAATTTAAAAAGTAGTCATTAGAAAACATCCATGGGTCTATAATATTCCACATGTCTCCTTTAGTTTCAGCCATGGTTTGATCTAGCTGGACAGTTAGAAGGAAGAAAATGATTTAGTAGCTCAGATTCAAGGCTTTCTCATCAAGAATGTGAGAGCAGTCACTGGTGTGTCCTTTGCTACCCTGTTGGTTTGGCAACCAGAGGTCCCCTTCCTCCTTTGCCTCCAGCCTGGGCTTGTTTAGAGGTTGGCTTTCCCAGTGTTCTCCACCTTCCACAGCTCCAAGGCCTGGCCTGAGTATGGGGTAAGATGGCATATGGGGAAACATCTGAGCCCTAGCTCAGCCCACAACTGCCTCCTCTCTGTCTACGTCTCTACCTCTGTCCCTCTTTAGCCTTCTCCACCCTCAGCGGTGTCTCTGCATTCAGATGGGGGGACCAGGTTGGTCTTGGACATTCAGGGAAGGGCCAGCATTAAGGAGAATGCAAGAAAGCAAACCTGTTCCCAGGTGGCCCCTTCCATTATTTCCTTTTCTATTTTCTCCCTGATTCTTGTTTACCCTTCTGCAAATCTACTGGGAGAAGGAAGTGATAACAACGCATCGTGTTAAACTGCATATTTTAAGCCCTGTCTTTAAATAGGCAGCACCCATTTTGCTCCTCTGTCTAAAGGAGTTTTAAGCATTTGAGAAGATAAAGTCATAAAGTCTCCATCTTGGTCCCTGAAACCCTCCACCCTCCACAAAATCCACAGAATCATTCAAGAGTTTTCAAGTATATTTTCTATTGTGAAACATTTTGCTGAAATAAAATCTTCCCAGAAGCCCAATACGTGAAACAGGTAAAAGCTGACCCACTGCGGGGTAGAGCGCGCTAATCTCCCAACCCCAATGGCCCTTAAAGAGACCCTCAAAGCTCCAGGGCTCTCCAGAGAACAGTCTGAAAACCTTTGGAAAGTCACCCAGGTTGGTTGTAAGGACACCTAGCATCTAGTTCTCATTGTATCCTGATTCTACCATTAATAAGTCTCGTGACCTTGAGTGAGGTCCCTACCCCTGTAGATTTCAGTCTTCTCAACTGCAAATCGAGGAAGACAGAGCTGTTCACCTCTCACTTGCTGCCAGGCCTGAGGGTCTATGAGTCCACTCAGATCCACACATTTTAGCATGCTGCCTCCCTACCAGTATTTGCATTTTCAACAAAGACAAAGTCTTAAAGTGAAGCAATAAACATCAAATTGGGGAACTGTCAGCCTCTTCCCACAAAAGGGCGAGGCATAAAAAGAGGAGATGAGGCGGCGGTCCTCTTCACCTGCTACCTCCAAGTATGAGGAGCGGTCACAAGAGAGAAGGGGGAGCAGAAATCCTCAGCTCCTACAGAAATGAACACATTTTCCAAAATAAAGTCAAGCCAAGCCACCCTACCCCAAAGAAAGTCCTAGCAAACAGAGGTGGCTTCTACCTGAGGCACTGGCCAGGTGTGTCCAACCGGAGGAGCTGCAGTCAGAGATCAGAGTGACTTAACAGTTAGAGAGAACTTGGTGAATAAAGGGAAATAAGGAAACCACGTCAGACGACACTTCTCTTCTGAGCCCCTCCCATGTCTACATTTGGGGAAGAACAGTTTAAGTCAAGGGATCACAGGGTATCAGAGATTTCCAGGGTCCATATGAGGAAGCGGGGGTCCCAGGTGTAAAGCTGGGGTTGAGGGTGCGTTATCTGAACTCTCCACTCTATGGATGATCATTTGTATTCTCTTCCTTTTCCTGAATTTACTTCCATGTGTTTATTCCTAAATTCCCCAGTAGATCACCTGTGAAAGCTTGCAACTTGCCTGACAAGAATAAAGGGGAAAGGATTTGATTTACAGCAGAGATTTTAGGAGTCCCCTGTAGGAGGGACTTCGGGGCAATCCGGCGGGAAGAAGGCGGAGGACTGCACTTGAGCTGCTTGGACAGCAGGCACACCATCTCTGCTTATTTTGCAGGCTTCTTTGAGGCAGCCTGGTGGGGATTTGAAGGGAACACAAACCCTTCCTTTTTGCCAGCCACTCTTTTGCACAACCATTGTCATTGACCAGTTGAATTAAATGGCTCTGAGGCTGCAAGCGTAGGTCACTTCTGGAGTCTGGCCGGTTAACAGAGAGATCGTAGAGCTGGAGCAGTCCATGAATGGAAGAGCTGGGGTCAAGGTCACGGCTCCTCCCCATCTCAGTAATGAAAGACGGCTTCTCTGGGAACTCACCTTACCTGCATCCAGCAGCTAATGGTGTTCCCTAGCTTGAGTCTTCTGGCACCTTCATCACTTCTCCATAGAATCTGAACCCTACTGTACTGCAATGAGATGTTTGCTAGTCAGCCCTCTGAGTAGTGAGACAGCAATTCGTCTCTGTGTTCTCCTTCAGGGAATATAGTAAGTCCTCAATCAATGGCTGTGGAGTAAATGAAAGGAGATGTTTCTCCTGTGATTCATAGACTATGCGTCACCACCACGATTCAGTGTCTGTTGCTTTTGGCTACACACTGAAACCACCGGCATGCCTGATGGCTTCACTTCCACGCGGCCCAGCTGGTTTGCCTGGCGTTGTTTCTTCCCAACCTCCCCCTGATGTTTGGAGCTAGTGCCAGTCTGTGCAAGCATACATCCTGCCCTACCACAAATGCCAAACTTCGCATGTCCTGGATTCCTGCAGTTCCGCCACTGGCAAGCCTTTTTTTTTCTTTTTTCCAGGGACAGACTCTCACCGTGTTGCCAAGGCTAGAGTGCAGCGGTGAGATCGTAGCTCAGTGCAGCCTCACACGCCTGGACTCAAGCAGTCCTCCCGCCTCAGCCTCCTGAGTAGCTGGGACTACAGGCAAAAGCCACCACATCTGGCTATTTTTTTATTATTTTTTCTGTAGTGAAAGGGTCCTGTTATACTACCCAGGCTGATCTTGAACTCCTAGCCTCTAGTGACCCTCCTGCCTTTGCCTCCCAAAGCACTGAGATTACAGACATAAGCCACCATGCCTAGCCTGCAAACCTGTTTTTTAAGCTAAGTTGTGCTCTCCTCCTGAGCTCTTTTATCATTTGTAAATAGTAATAGGGAGTGTAAGGAGACAATGGCCACTCATGCTTTGCTATTACTGATGTTGGAATAGAAAGGAGTCAAAGATGGGGTAGTCCCAGGAGGTAGGGGACATTCTCTCTATTAATCATCTAGGGAAAAGGCAGCCCCAAGGGCAGAAAATGGTCACTGGAGACACAGGAGAAAAGAGATGAGAGCCTAGACTGCAAAACACCTGCCCGTACGCAAGAGCAATCCTGAGGCCGGAGAAGGATAGTTTTTGCCACAAGGGGGCAGCAGTCACTGGACAGGGAGGCCACTGCAAGACACCCCTTGAGAAGGACTAGGGCCAAGCGCAGGTATATTTAATACCCAGTGTTAAGTTCTTCTCTGTGTATAATTCCCTTCTGCTTTTCCTAAGCCCTCAGTAAAAGTCAGTTCATGATTCCAGTTGATTTCAAGGAATCACTGAGGGGTTAGGGAAGGGTCTGGTCTCCCGGAGCCCTAGGAGTGAAGGGGGAGCAGCCCACTGCATGAGTGTGGTGGGGGCAGCAACAATGCTGGCGTCTCCAAGAGAAGTTGCATCTGGAGGACAGGAGTGGAAAGAACCTTTCACTTTGCAGTAGGAGTGAGCATTTTTTTTCTTGACACAGAGTTTCGCTCTTGTCGCCCAGGCTGGAGTACAATGGCATAGTCTTGGCTCACTGCAACCTCTGCCTCCTGGGTTCAAGCGATTTTCCTGCCTCAGCCCCCCAAGTAACTGAGATTAAGACATGCATCACCACGTCTGGCTAATTTTTTGTGTTTTTAGTAGAGATGGGGTTCCACCATGTTGGTCAGTCTGGTCTCAAACTCCTACCTCAGGTGATCTACCCGCCTCAGCCTCCCAAAATGCTGGGATTACAGTCATGAGCCACCGCGCCCGGCTAGAAGAGAGCATTTTACTGAAGGAGAGAGAAAGCACATATAGATAAGTTCAGAATGAAATTTACCCACTTGAAAATGTTCCAGCAAGTCAGCCCACCTGACCTATCTCCTATACCTCACTTCCCACTTACACCTGTGCCCTCTTAAAACGGCCTAGAATGTTCCTGCTGTAAAAGCATTTTTTCATTCCATGTAGAGCTCTCAGTGCCACAAAGAAAGCTGTGACAGGTGCAGCCCAACTGCCAGTCAACTGGCAAAATGTGGCATCTCTTTGGGTGACATCTTCTTACCACTCTATTTCAATCATGGCAGCTTCTAAACAGACCACTTGAACAGCACACAGTATGGCTGCAAGAACATCTGTTTTGTCCCTGCATCAGCCTTGTGCCAGCTTAAGCATCTCCATCTCTTCTCATTCCTCCAGAAGAATCCACTTGGATCTGGGATCAAAGTAGGGGAAAGAGGTGTAGAAGGAGGTTTCTCCTCTCTCCCCTGTGATGTCATCATAACCACAGCAACAGGTTCAGGGAGTGAGTCTGTGACCTAAGATGGTCTAGTGAGAGCAAAGGTCAGATGTTTGCTCAATGAATGTGGAAAAGCAAGTATGTCGTCTTGTTGCGGCCAGCAGCCATTTTGCTACCATAAATGGCAAAAACAGTCCAAGGGGAAAAAAAAAAACAGCACAACACGCAGAAGAAGGCAGGGCTGAGAGAATCAGAGAAACAGAGCTGGATCCCTGAACGAACCAGGCCCAGAGGCCATCTTCTCCTTGTCCTTTCCTCGGTTCCATGAGCCAATAAATTCTCTTTATTGTGAAGACCAGTTCAAGTTGATTTTCTGTTACCAGGAACCAAAACGTGCCCAACTGTGAGAGTTCTGGAAACCAAACGTGATCTAGGATGAGAGAAGCAGGGAGTAGTGTCAGTGAGACACTGGGTCCAGGCTTTGGTGGTAAAGACACAGGGGCATTGACAGACACGTGACCTGGTCAGGCGTAGATCTCCGAGCCCTGATCACCAAGCTCCAGAGGAAGCCAGAGGAGGACCTAGAAAAGTGAGCATATTTGTTTCCCGCAATCTCCATTTTAAAAAATTAAATTTAATTTAAAAATTGTTTCCTGCAATCTCAGTTTAAAAAAATTAACAAATAAATAAATAGGCCAGGCATGGTGGCTCATGCCTTTAATCCCAACACTGGGAGACCAAGGCGGGAGGATTGCTTGCCTTCAGGAGTTCAAGACCAGCCTAGGCAACATAGCGAGACCTTATCTCTACTAAAAATAGAAAGTAAAAGTAAAAATTAGCTGGGCATGGTGGTGTGTGCCTGTAGTCCCAGCTATCATGGAGGGTGAGGCAGGAGGGTCCGTTGAGCCAGAGAGATCAAGGCTACAGTGAGCTATGTTCACACAACTGCACTCCAGTCTGGGTGACAAAGTGAGATGCTGTCTCTAAACAAATAAATAAAGTGAGCGTATGAGCCTGGGCCACACAGCGACACCCCATCTCTACAAAGATGTTTTAATTATCTGGGTGTGGTGGCACACACCTACAGTCCCAGCTACATGGAAGGCTGAGGCAAGAGGATCGCTTGAGCCCAGGAGTTCAAGGCTGCAGTGAGCTATGATCACTCCACTGCACTCCAGCCTGGGAGACAGAGTGATAAACTGTCCCGAAAGAAATAAAAATTAAAAAAGGAAAGTGAGCATTTGAGCACACCCATCTGAAAGGAAACCCTCTGGAATGGATTCAGAAAATCCTCATGAAGGACCCAGAATTCCCTGCTTTGGAGCCAGACAGACCAGAATGGAAATACTGGCTCTTGTTCACTAGTTCGTGGGATACTGATCTTGAGATACTGATGGGAAAGCATTTTTTCATTCTATGCAGAACACCCATTGCCACGAAGAAAGTTGTGACAAGTGCAGCCTGAATGACAGGCAACTGGCAAAATGTGGCATCTCTTAACATTTACCAAAATATCCTTATCTATAAAAATGGGGATAATAAGACTTGCATCAGGCCGGACGCGGTGGCTCACACCTGTAATCCCAGCACTTTGGGAGGCCAAGGCAGGCAAATCACGAGGTCAAGAGATCGAGACCATCCTGGCCATCATGGTGAAACCCTGCCTCTACTAAAAATACAAAAATTAGCTGGGCATGGTGGCACACGCCTGTAGTCCCAGCTACCCAGGAGGCTGAGGCAGGAGAATTGCTTGAACCCAGGAGCGAAGGTTGTAGTGAGCCGAGATCGCACCACTGCAGTCCAGCCTGGCGACAGAGGGAGACTCCATCTCAAGAATAAGAATAAGAATAAGAATAATACTTGCCGCCGGGCGCGGTGGCTCACGCCTGTAATCCCAGCACTTTGGGAGGCCGAGGCGGGTGGATCACAAGGTCAAGAGATCGAGACCATCCTGGTCAACATGGTGAAACCCCGTCTCTACTAAAAAACTACAAAAAATTAGCTGGGCATGGTGGTGCGTACCTGTAATCCCAGCTACTCAGGAGGCTGAGGCGGGAGAATTGCCTGAACCCAGGAGGCGGAGGTTGCGGTGAGCCGAGATCGCGCCATTGCACTCCAGCCTGGGTGACAAGAGCGAAAACTCCGTCTCAAAAAAAAAAAAAATAAAAGAATAATACTTGCCTTTCCCAGCTGTTGTGATGATGGAAAACTTGAGCACCAAACTGGTATAAATCAGTTGCTATAAATCAGCTGGT